AGCTCCTAAGATGCCCGTTCCATAGCCTCTGTCCTGTGCAAGGATGGAAGCAACATAGGCAAAGATGGCGATGCACATCACAGTAATGAGCACAGACAGAATCCAAATCTCTCCTGGAGGTGATGTCCATTTGTAGAAGTGAAGAATTCATCTTCTGGATGAAGAGACTATGCTGGCTGAGATAGCATTGATCGAACATGCATTTCTCCACCCTATATGTCATTGCTTGGTGCACAATGATTGAGTTTGAATCCATCAGGTCGATAAGAAGGTGGACTTTCCAACAGCCTCATGGACATGGTGACTGTCATTGGTCAGTTGATCTTCACAATGAGCAATGCCTCACAGGTCCCAAGATAAGCAAACCTACGCTGCTAGAGCCTGGAGCCTCACCTGGCTGGTGCACTTGCAGCCCTGAGCACCTGCAGCCTTGCGCACTTGCAGCCTCTTGCCACTCCTGGGCTGTTGGCAAATATTTTAGGCCATTTCGCTTTGATTTTATATAAAACTAAAAATAAATTCTGGGAAGATAAAGTGATGTTATTCAACTGGATTCCAATCTTTTAAAAGTGTCTTGATGTTTTCACATATCAACACGGTCCAGGCATTTTTTTATATTGTCTTCATTTTCATTTTGTCTAAGTTAAAGTGTGTTCAACAAAGTGAGCCTCTGAGAATCTAAACTAAGTAAAAATGGTCATTGATTGACACTCATTGACACGTGCCACCTCCATTTGCCACGCCAACCATCTGACTCCTTCCAAGGAAATTTACCATCTGCTTCTTATCCCCTGTCTGCTCTCTGACCTCTCCCTCTTCTTCCTCCAAGATTCAAATGAAGTTCATTCAACCCTCAAAGGGCAGTTTCTCTACCTATGATTTGACCTGATTTGTGTGTAAACCACTGCATGAGTGAGTCAGGAGTCACGGGTGCAGTATATCTGCTTGTCTCCCATTTATTTGATGTTAAAATTAGACTATTTGCATTTGACTCACTTTCATAATTCAAACCTGCAGTTTAGGGCTTTTTTAACCAAAGCCAAGCTTTGATATTGCTAATATATAGTTGGTACTTGAAAGTTTATTAAACAAATGTTTACCATATGCATAGATCCTCTTCCCACATAGTTTCAATATTCTGAAGTAGATTTTACTTTACTTCTTTTCCTAATATTCTGAAAAACATATTAAAAAAATGACTCCATGAAAAGTAAAACTGACGCAATAGGGTGATGAGGAGCAACCATCTCCTTTTCATGCTTAAAATCTCTTTTAAACCACATATTTACTTCTGCTCAATAAAGGAAAACATATTTTTCTTTATAAACTTCTGATGTCTAGAGCTTTTTTAAACGCATAGATTTGCTCCTGGGTCAGCATCCCAAGCTCTGAAGTTATGACAGAAGTCTATTAAGGAAAAAGAACAACTGCCCTTGGGGTTGAGGGAGCATTTCCCCTTATCACACCTCCCATTTACCCTTTCCCCTTATCACACCTCCCAGCATCTTGCTGTTTGTCTTAGCCTGTCTTCAATGGCCTAAGATATAGAGCCCAGTTAGAAATGGCAGGACCAGCCTGTTTTTCTAAAGTAGGGTTTCAGCTGTGTGATCAGAAGCTGAGCTATGTTGGTGTTTAATAGTGAAGATCCCTGGATCCACAGCACACCTGCTCACTGTGGTTCTTGGAGGCGGAAAGGCAAAAACCTTTTTTTTTTTTTTTCTGCAAAAGCCCTAGGTGTTTGTTTAGCACTTTTGCTTTGAGATGCGCTGCCCTTGACCACTGCACATAAGCTCCAAGGTGGAAATAAATGCAAAACAGTTCCAAAAGCTAGCAATTCATTTGTGGATTTTTCTATATTCATGAAAAATAGAAGGCATGATGACTAAATAGGGCAAATGTTTGCAGTGTTTAAGAGTTAAGTGAAGAGAGGCTGGAGAGAAGACTCAGTGGTTAAGAGCACTGAATGCTCTTGCAGAGGACCCGGGTTTGAGTCCCAGCACCCACATGGCAGTTAACAACCATCTGTAACTCCAGGTCTAGGGGACACCTTCTTCTGACCTCCAAGGGCATTGCACATTATGGATGCACTTATACACATGCAGGCAATACACTCATACACCTAAAATAAAAATGATAATAATAAAAAAAAGAGTTAAGTGAAGAATCGACTGCATTATTTGAGACCACAGTTGTTGAGGAGCAAGATGGATATGGATAATTTTAACTTATTCATTTTGAAACATGGAACATTAATGACCTTAATTGTGAGCTATGGATGCTTCCCTGGCTTTGATCTTCCTTCTTAGAAGTCTAGCCCCTTTAACTCATTTGCTGTACCACAGTGACTTGGTCTTGGTACAACTGAGACCAACAGCTTGTCTTGCTGGAATTGCTCCTCCAGAAGACTGAAAACTTGGGCATTGTTTTCCTATCATCATATTTATTTTGAATTTTCTTTGGTCATTTTCTGTTTAAAAATCTTTCTTCCAGCTGGGCATGGTGGTGCACGCCTTTAATCCCAGCATTTGGGAGGCAGTGAAAGGCAGATCTCTATGAGTTCAAGGTCAGCTTGGTCTACATAGTGAGCTCCAGGCCAGCTGGGGCTATAGAGAGACCCTGTCTCAAAAAGACAAATAAATAAATAAATAAATAAACAAAAACCTTGTCCTCAGAAGTCGGGCTGGTCCTCTTCTTGAAGCCCAGGAGCAGTGAATAGTGGGACTCATATTACTGTCTGTATGGTGTGCTGTCAGTGAGTGTGTTACAGTTATCCATGAGGGCCTTGCTGTACAACATCTCATTATTAGATGCATTGTAGATGGTGTTAATGATCCTTGTTTTGTGAGTGAGACACTTGAGGCCCAGAAGAAGTCCCTGACATCCAGCTTCAGGGCACAGTACTTATTCCTCGAACTCCTACTGTGTGCATGTGGTGGAGGTACATCTTTGTGTTGGCAGCAGGACATCTCAGCTCCCACCTCCTCTTATGGTATGGCTTTCTCTTGCCTCCAATCTTGTGCTTGTGCCAGTTGTCCTGAGATGTCCATTGCTTGATGCTGACTGGAAAGAGCTATGTATGTATTTTAAAGTTTAATTTAAAGCCAACCAATTGTTTAGAAACCATTAATTTTGCTTTTGCTTTCCATTTTTGTATTTTGTGTGCCTACTTCTGTAGAAAGCATGGGCGCACACGCACGCATGTGCACGCACACACATACCTCTCTTCTCTCACCCTTGGACCAACTCTTCTTCCCAAGGCAATCCATGACTCATGGTCTCTCCCTTATTTCTTAGGGGTAAGTTTTCACTAAGAGAGTGACTGATGCAATTGAATGACCCAAGTTCAAGATCTTCCTTTGATACTTAGCTGTGTCATAGTGGATAGACTGGATAACACTTCCCACTTCCTGTTCTCTGCTTTGTTCAATGCATAATATGTTCTGAAATATATTACTTACTATACATGATATGATATAGAAATTAAATAAATATGTGCTGAAAATAAATTTGAAGAATTCACTTACAGTTATTGCTTTATCTGGTTATTAATTACACTGGCCACATGGGAAAGGATATATTAAAAAGTCAAGTCCTTAAGTTACAAGACCTTAAATTTTACTAAAGAAGGTTTTTATTGCCAGATTCTAAAATTATAAAGGTAAGATATCATGATCCTTGCCCTCAGGTTGTTTACAGTCTGATAAGAAGAGACAGATTTTTAATTTTATCCATACATTAAAAGTATGTACAATGTTGTAAGATAGTAAAGGAGTCAGCAGACCCATTAAAGAAGGAATGACCACTATTTATAGTGTTTGAGACACTTACCTAGTTTCCCTAGTTAAGTGTCTGTGTGTGTGTGTGTGTGTGTGTGTGTGTGTGTTTGTGTGTGTGTATTGTATTGGGAAAAATGTTAAACATTTCCTTTACTAGAAGCTGTTTTATTTTAATTTAAAAGAACACATGTGTGACTCAATTGGACTTTTAGGTGAAATAGAAAAAGCTTTTAGCTTTTAGCTTTTGGAGACATCTCATGTCAATTTGGCATAAAGAACACGTGCTGACCATTGGTAGGAATACTGCTTCTCAGAGCTGTTTGGTGCAACCCTATCAACAAGCAACCGCGTTCTTCTCATAATGACTCATTATTCGCTTTGATAAACAGAGTAAACATAATGGCTTTTTTTTTTACAAAAAAAAAGATTCATTATATTTTTCAATTTTATTTATTTCTTAATTTTACAGATCTGTAGATCTATAACTTAAAAAAAATAAACTTTTTGAGACAATATCTCCATGTAGCTTCAGTTGACCTGGAACTTCCTATGTAGACCAGGCTAGCCTCAATCTCACAGAGATCCACCTGAGTCTCCAAAGTCATAGGATTAAAGGTGTATACCACCTCGCTCAGTGATTTATTTTATTTTTAATTATGTGTATATGTGTGTCAGTGTATATGTGCATGTTGGTTTAGGTGTCTACAGAGGCCAGAGGCTTTGGATACCCTGGAGCTGATAGGCAACTATAAGCTGTTGGACGTGCATGCTGGGGAACTCAAACTCACCCTCTGGAAAGAGCAGCATGAGCTCTTAACTACTGAACCATCTCTCCAGCCCTTGATGTATACAAAGTCATGATCTTGCACCTGTGATCTTGTGACCATCATAGTCCCGTAGTGGGAGTCATACTGCACTTAGCTGAGTGAAATTGCTATCACTGCATAGTAGTGGGAACAGGATGCTGGTTGTGGTAAAATGCTCTCAAGATGGAGGCATTCTGAGTAAATCACCTTATAAATGATACATTCTTGTTGACTTATAATGAAGGTGAAAGGTAGATTATGTAAAGAGTAAATAACCTGTAATGTTCTATCATGTGTTATATTTTTATTATATCAGAGCAGATTTGCTAGAAATGACCTGACACCATGCATTAACGCAACAAAAAGCTATGAACTGTGAATTACATTTTTGTCTCCTTCTTGTGTTTACTCTCTATAGTTGATACGCCAGATCCATATGTAGAACTTTTCATCTCTACCACCCCTGACAGCAGGAAGAGAACGAGACACTTCAATAATGACATAAATCCTGTGTGGAATGAGACCTTTGAGTTCATTTTGGATCCTAATCAAGAAAATGTTCTGGAGGTAACAAGTGAATCAGTCCTCATCCCTGTGGAGAGAGATGCCTGCTGTCTTTTCCTTTAGTCGGGCCTGGCTGTGAGCTGGGTGGTTTGATCACTGAGCCTCTAGATGTGAGCATCCAGGTGGAAATTCAGGATGCAGAATGGGAGCACTTCTTGTGTACTTTGGAGAAGACAAATTTTCTGTTATAAAGATGAGAATTCTTGTGTAATAGAATACAAATATTTTTAATTGCCTTTAATATAAATTTACATGGATTTTTTCCCCTCAAAGTAGTTGTATTGGTTTTCCGTATTAATTCCTTCTCCGTATTTCACAGATCAAGCGGTACGGTCATATACTCTAAACCATATTTCAAAAACAAAAAAGAAGTAACAGTCTATGTTTTGATATATGGCTCAATCGGGAATATGTAAAAAAATTTTTTGCTTTAAATAGCAAATGTAGTATTCAAAGGAAAAAGATATAAGTATTGTTGTGAGTTAAATACTGATGACCCTCTAGGGGCTGAGTGTGTAGGTCAATTGTCTAGCATGAACCCTAATTTTTAAAAAGTTGAGAACCTTAAGAGACTTTAAAAATCATTTGAGGACTTAATTTTTTAATGTAATAGACATTTTAGACATGGCTTGCAACAATCCTTGTAAACTATATTTATGTGCTCTTTTGCTCTGCAGATCACATTAATGGATGCCAATTATGTCATGGATGAAACCCTAGGCACAGCTACATTTCTCATATCTTCCATGAAAGTGGGAGAGAAGAAAGAAGTTCCTTTTATTTTCAATCAAGTAAGTAACAGCAGAATCACTTTCCTCTTTATGTCACATATCTACTTATCTTAGAAAGTTGGGTTAAGAGCTGGGCCTGGTGGTACATGCCTTAATCCCAGCACTTGGGAGGCAGAGGCAGGCAGATCTCTGTGAGACTGAAGCCAGCCTGGTTTACATAGCAGGTATCAGGCCAGCTGGGGCTACACACTCTACCACTGAGCTAAATCCCCAACCAACCCCGAATTTTTTTCTTTTTTAAAGAACCGTACCTAGCAACCGTACCCGGGCATCGAGGGAGGGAAGGAAGGAAGGAAGGAAGGAAGGAAGGAAGGAAGGGAGGGAAGTTGGATTTAAGATTTATCTATTTTTTAATAGAATGCTTTATATTTTTAAAGAGTAAGTTTGCTCAGCATGGTGGTGCATACTTGCAATCCCAGCACTTAGAAAGTGGAAGCAGGGAGTTCAGACATTCAAGGCTAGCTTGGGCTATATAGTGAGTTTGAGGCCAGCTTGGGCTACATTGAGATGCTCTTAAAAAACAAAGCAAAAACAAAAAGACAGATAACATTTTGTTTGTCCTTTTACTTCCTGTCCTAATCTCTCTTTTTCTCTAGTCATTCTTTTGAGGAAGTGGGGCTTGAACCCAGAACCTTGCACATGCTAGGCAAACACTCTACCACTGAGCTATATTCACAACCCCCATCCTAATTTCTTATCATTAGATATCCATAAGCCTTGACTGAGGTATTAAATACTATGATCATTAATCTTTTGTCATTCCAAATGATACTATTGAAATTAAACAACAGCTTTGGACTCCACTGGAGAGATGATAAAATGTTGGGAAACCCAAACTCTTCCAAAATTTCATGTTAGTTTGTTATGACATGCATTTACTATTACCATTATCAATGCACATATTTAGTATTAAATATATCAGTATACATTAAGCATCTCTGGAGGAATAGTTCTGTCTCCAATAATTAGGGCCAAATCAGTGATGTGCCAGAAAAGTATGCTAGAATTATTGTTAATATTATCTTTATACCTTAAGTTCGCCACAATTTCATATTTACTTAGGAATACTAAAACCTTGGGAAAGATATTTATGCAGAACAAACTTGTATTTTAAATTGTATGAAAACTGAGCTAGAGGATTGATGGTGAGACATGTAAACAACTGGTGAGGTGGTGTGTGAAGGGATAATTAAAATATTGCTTTTTCTTGTCCAGGAAAATACTACATTTTGTTGTTGTTTGGTTGGTGGATTTTGTTGTTTGTTTGTTTGTTTGTTTGAGAGGGTCTCCCTGTAGCCCCAGCTGGCCTGATATTTGCTGTGTAGACCAGGCTGGCCTCATGGTCTCATAGAGATCCACCTGACTCTGCCTCCTAAGTGCTGGGATTAAACTCCTGAGCCATCGCCACACAGGGCTGAGTCACTGTTTTTAGCTCTTTCTTAGAATGACTTCAGGTGCCTCCAGACTCACCCAAACCTACGTATCCCTTAAGTCTTTACCTCTTGTATTTTGCTGTCCTGTTGCCAGTACAGATGACCTCTTCCTCATCTGATTCCTTGATCTGTCCTATTTGCTGGTGCTACATCATTTATACTGTTCAATTTATTATCTTCCTGTGGCAAATAAAAACATATAGCCAGGGGAAGTGAAACACTGTATGTGCCTGCAACATCAATGCATGGCTTCTTGGTACAGAATGAATGTGCACTTATTTGCCAACTAAGACCACAAGGTTTCTTGTTTCTTGGGTAGTTCATACTATCTGATCACCCACAGTTTCAGGAGGCAGAGAAATAGTTGTGATCATTCAAGGCAGAATCAAATGTAAAATCACAGTCTTGAGAGAAGGAAGCAAGACAAGGCTTGGCAAATTAAAGGACTTGCCAGGTGCATCTTAGAGATTTCTGGTAGAAAGAGCATAGAGGTGGCTGAAAAGTTCTTAAGGTCTTGCCTATTTGGCATTGGAGGACGGGTTTTCAATGCCTCTCTGTTGAGAGCTTTGTAAGCAATTCTTTTATTCTTCAATCCCTGATCCAAAAACTGATTATGAAAGAAGATACTGTGGCAAAAAATATATTTCCTCTCCTTCTGTCATTTCCTCTTGTTAAGTTGTATAAGCCCCGGGCTCTGAAAAAGACTTTCTACATTCCTGAATTGAAAGTAGGTTACGTAATTATTTTCTTTAGTCTGCCTGAGAAAATAGTTGGCCAAAGAGCTGCTTTTCATTACGTTTTCTCAAGAGTCCTTTGCATTTTGTATTTGAATGTCAGTACTTTGAGCCACTGATCTGGGCTGGTCCTTGGGAGAAGGGGAGTTGCTGACTGCGTGAAGAGTCCAGAGTTCTTTCTCAGATGTTGTGGGAGTACCCTATAGGAACCACCCCTTCCTCCTCATTTCCTGAGATGGGATCTGCCCTAGGTGGGTGGTTTTCTGTCTGAACACTCACAGAGGTGTTAAGAGAGAATGAACCATGAGGGAATGCTGGGAGAGGAGAGGAAAACAAACCTCGAGGACAGTCATGGTGATGTGATATAATCAGAAGAGCACTTAGCTTTGGTGAAAGAGGACAAAAACTCCAAGCCAAGACATTACTAATCAAAACTCTCTCAAACTTTTGGCATCTGAAAGTTAATACTGACTCAAATCAGAATGGCGTTTATGGCCAGGAGACAACTGGGGAAAGGACAGGGGCCTTGAAATGGACCTGGCCACCTCCCAGAGGCCAGCTCCAGCCTTCTCGGGTTGGAAGTTGGGAATTGGAGACTGACTGAAGTCTTGTTTGGTCTCATCACTAATCTTCCAGATGTTTGAATTGCCGTTTGTTTTCTCTGAGTCTTATTTTCTTCCTCTCTAAAGTGAGGGTTTAGAATAAATTATTTCCCAGCTCCTTTCTACTTTATAAAATTCTGTAACTCAGAAAGAATTCTGTAGTTTCATCTGGCTACCTTCACAAACACTTTGCAGTCTTTACCACTTTATAGACTTAAAAGACAAAAATAAAGCAAGAACAAAAAAATTCACTCATATAGTTGTACATAATTTCAAAACTCTGGCTTTGCCAATAGAATGTGTTATTTATTAATATGAGAACTACGTGAGCCTGTATTGCACCCCTAAAACTTGCTAAGTATTAGAAGGGTATGCAAAGTTTTATTTTTAAGAAGCTGATAATTTGTTGGAAAAGTTGATATTCATGTATAAAGTGTGAGATGCTTGTACAGTACATGATTTGCTACATGGTCAACAAACAGCAGATGGCATTGTAGACAGAGCCCAAGCTCTAGGAACTTGTATCTCATAAGGATGGTAAATAGGCAACAATGAGCAAAAGAATAATCACTCAACACCTGCTAGGTGAAAATACCATAAGGGGAATGAAATGCCCTAAGGCAATGTAATGCAACTGGGTGTGGTGGCACATTATGAATTTTCAACACTTGGGAGGCTGAGACAGGAAGATAATAAGTCCTGGGCCAGCGTGACTTACAGAACTAGACTCTATCTTAAGAAAGAAAAAGGAGGGCAGGTAAGATGGCTCAGCAGGTAAAGACACCTGCTGTCAATCCTGAGCACCTGCGTTCTACCTCCAAGACCCACACAATGGTGGTAAGAACTGATTTCTTCAAGCTGTCTACTGACCTCCACACACATGCCATGACACACTTGTGTTATGGTACATACA